TTGCTCCCCTATCCACTCTATCATATGCCTTTTCTAAATCCATAAATGCAATAAAAAATTCCCTACCCTTATCTAAATACTGTTTACATTTATGCTTCAATGTAAACACCTGATCTACACATCCCCTACCCACTCTGAAACGTCCTTGCTCATCCGCAATCCTACATTCTGTCTTACCTCTAATTCTTTCAATTATAATCCTACCGTACACTTTTCCTGGTATACTCGGTAAACTAATTTATCTATAATTTTTACAATCACTTTTGTACCCCTTCCCTTTATATAAGGGACTATACACGCTCTCCGCCAATCCCTAGGTACCTTCCCGTCTTTCATACATTTATTAAACAAAAATACCAACCACTCCAACACTACATCCTCCCCCGTTGCTTTTAACATTTCTGTCACGATCCCGTCAGTTCCAGCTGCTTTACCCCGTTTCATTCTACGTGATGCCTCACGCACCTCCCCCACACTTACATCCTGCTCTTCTTTACTCCTAAAAAATGGTATACATCCCTGGCCAGTGCATGAAATTACCGCCTCCCTTTCTTAGTCGACATTTAAAAGTTCCTCAAAGTATTCTCGCCATCTACCCAAAACCTCCATCTCCCCATCTACTAACTCTCCTACTTTGTTTTTAACTGACAAATCCATTTGTTCCGTAGGCTTTCTTAACTTGTTTAACTCCAAAATTTTATCTTATTTTCATTAAAATTTGCTGACAGTGTCTCTCCCACTCTATCATCTGCTGTCCTTTTGCACTCTCTCAACACTCTCTTCACCTTTCTTACTCTCCATATACTCTACTCTTCTTATAGCACTTCTGCTTTGTAAAAACCTCACATAAGCTACCTTTTTCTCTTTTATCACACCCTTTACTTCATCATTCCACCAATCACTCATCTTTCTTCATGCACCCTCCCTCCTATAACCACAAACGTCTGCCCCACATTCTAATACTGCATTTTTAAAACTATTCCAACCCTCTTCAACCCCCCCCCACTACTCATACTTGTACTAGCCCACCTTTCTGCCAATAGTTGCTTATATCTCACCCGAACTTCCTCCTCCCTTGGTTTATACACTTTCACCTCTCTTTTACTTGTTGTCATTTTCCTCTTTTCCCATCTTCGTCTTACTCTAAGTGCAGGTAGAACTAGATAATGATCCGATATATCAGTTGCCCCTCTATAAACGTGTATATCCTGGAGCCTACCCATCAACCTTCTATCCACCATTACATAATCTAGCAAACTACTTTCATTACGTGCTATATCATACCTTGTATATTTGTTTATCCTCTTCTTCATAAAATATGTATTACTTATTACCAAACCTCTTCCTACACATAGCTCAATTAAAGGCTCCCCATTTTCATTTATCCCTGGCACCCCAAATTTACCAGCTACTCCCTCCACAACATTTTTACCCACTTTAGCATTGAAATCCCCAACCACAAGTACTCTCACACTTGGTTCAAAACTCCCGATGCATTCACTCAACATTTCCCAAAATCTCTCTCCTCTACACTTCTCTCTTCTCCAGGTGCATATATGCTTACTCTAACCCACTTTTCACATTCAACCTTTATTTTACTCCACATAATCCTTGAATTAATACATTTATACTCCCTCTTTTCCTTCAACATTATTGATACTCCTTTAGCTCTAACTCTATTTGAAACCCCTGACCTAATCCCATTTATTCCTCTCCAATGAATCTCTCCCACTCCCTTCAGCTTTGTTTCACTTAAAGCCAGGACAACCAGCTTCTTCTCATTCATAACATCCACAATCATCACTTTCCTATCGTTCGCACAACATCCACGCACATTCAGACTTCCCACTTTGAAAATTGTCTTATTCTTTTTAGTAATTATTACAGGAAAAGGGGTTACTAGCCCATTGTTCCCGGCATTTTAGTTGACTTTTACAACACGAATGGCTTACGGAGGAAAGATTCTTAATCCACTTCCCCATGGATATAAAAGGAAAAGTAATAAGAAACAAGAACTATTAAGGTAAAATTAAAGAAAACTCAGATGAGTGTGTATAGATAAACATGTACATGTTTGTGTAGTGTGACCTAAGTGTAAGTAGAAGTAGCAAGACACACCTGTAATCTTGCATATTTATCAGACTGACGAAAGACACCAGCAATCCTACCATAATGTAAAACAATTTCAGGCTTTCATTTTACACTCACTTGGCAGGACCGTAGTACCTCCCTGGGCGGTATTGATCAATAACAACACTGCGCTAGCCAAGGACTCGACCCTATGCTGCTTTGGCCTGCCATGAGGCAGGCCAAAGCAGCATGGGTTCGAGTCCTTGGCTAGTGCAGTGTTGTTGTTGATATATATATATATATATATTTATATATATATATATATATATATATATATATATATATATATATATATAATATATATATATATATAAATATATATATATATATGTATATATGCATGACAAGCCACGGGACGAGGGTGGAAACCTTTACCTCAAGTACTTTCACACTTCTCATTGCGTCATCAGGAGCTGTGCAATGTTGCAAGTGAGCAACCAAAGCAGGGAGAGAGGTCTCAGAGTAGCGTAGGTGTCACCGGCCAGGGTTACCCTTAGACCCTGGCTGGAGACACCAACGCTACTCTGAAACATCTCTCCCTGCTTTGGTTGCTCCCTTTCAGCATTTCACAGCCCCTGATGACGCACTGAGAAGTGTGAAAGTACTTGAGCTAAAGATATCCACCTTCTGTGGCTTGTCCTGCATAGTTAAGATCGCCCGTCTGCAATTGTTCGCATATATATATATATATATATATAATATATATATATATATATATATATATATATATATATATATATATATATATATATATATATATATATATATATATATATATATATTTATATATATAATATATATTTATATATATATATATATATATATATATATATATATATATATATAATATATATATATATATATATATATATATATATATATATATATATAAGAGTAAGGTTATGAGGATAACAAAAAGATTAGGTGATGAAAGATTGGATATCAGATTGGAGGGAGAGAGTATGGAGGAGGTGAACGTATTCAGATATTTGGGAGTGGACGTGTCAGCGGATGGGTCTATGAAAGATGAGGTGAATCATAGAATTGATGAGGGAAAAAGAGTGAGTGGTGCACTTAGGAGTCTGTGGAGACAAAGAACTTTGTCCTTGGAGGCAAAGAGGGGAATGTATGAGAGTATAGTTTTACCAACGCTCTTTATGTGGGTGTGAAGCGTGGGTGATGAATGTTGCAGCGAGGAGAAGGCTGGAGGCAGTGGAGATGTCATGTCTGAGGGCAATGTGTGGTGTGAATATAATGCAGAGAATTCGTAGTTTGGAAGTTAGGAGGAGGTGCGGGATTACCAAAACTGTTGTCCAGAGGGCTGAGGAAGGGTTGTTGAGGTGGTTCGGACATGTAGAGAGAATGGAGCGAAACAGAATGACTTCAAGAGTGTATCAGTCTGTAGTGGAAGGAAGGCGGGGTAGGGGTCGGCCTAGGAAAGGTTGGAGGGAGGGGGTAAAGGAGGTTTTGTGTGCGAGGGGCTTGGACTTCCAGCAGGCATGCATGAGCGTGTTTGATAGGAGTGAATGGAGACAAATGGTTTTTAATACTTGACGTGCTGTTGGAGTGTGAGCAAAGTAACATTTATGAAGGGATTCAGGGAAACCGGCAGGCCGGACTTGAGTCCTGGAGATGGGAAGTACAGTGCCTGCACTCTGAAGGAGGGGTGTTAATGTTGCAGTTTAAAAACTGTAGTGTAAAGCACCCTTCTGGCAAGACAGTGATGGAGTGAATGATGGTGAAAGTTTTTCTTTTTCGGGCCACCCTGCCTTGGTGGGAATCGGCCAGTGTGATAAAAATAATAATAATATATGTCGTGCCGAATAGGCAGAACTTGCGATCTTGGCTTAAATAGCAACGCTCATCTTGCCATATAGGACAAGTGAAAATTTGTGTATGCAATAATTTCGCCAAAATCATTCTGAACCTAACGAAAAAAATAAATTTCACTGTGTTTGTTTAGTATTAAATTATTGTAAACAAATCTAAAATATATTTAGTTGGGTTAGGCTAAAATAAATTGTTCTTGTTATAATAAGGTTAGGTAAGTTTTCTAAGATTCTTTTGGAACAAAATTAAAAAAATTTACATTAACATTACTGAAAAAAATATATCTTTAAACGTATAAGAGAAAATTTTAGAAAGGACTTAATTTTAAATGAGTTCTTGCTAATTGACCAGTTTTACATATTCGGCACGATATATATATATATATATATATTATATATATATATATATATATATATATATATATATATATATATTATATATATATATTATATATATATGTATATATATATATATATATATATATATATATATATATATATATATATATATATATATATATATATATATATATATATGTATATATATATATATATATATATATATATATATATATATATATATATATATATATATTATTTATTTATTTATTTATATATACATACGTTATGTACTATTTATAAACAGACTCCCTGGCCAAGCCTTAGTCACGTGACCGCGTTTAAACCACTCACATAGGCCGTGCCTCAGAGGCCTCTGTCTCACTCACTACGAAGCTTAGGGACAGTCAAAGTATTCTTGCTATCATTACTTCGTAATAACGAACCTTGATATATCATCGTTCAAGATTTTTGGGGAACAAATACGCAAAACTCTCAGCTACATTGAAAGGAATACAGTCTTCTTTTGACCATCACTTCATGAGCTGAACAAAATACTGTAAATATAAACGTTTTATCAACGCAGTGTACCAGAACACCTTAAATTCATACTATGTTATCCCTTTCTGGTTTAACTTAAAACGTTTATTTAATTATAATAAATGTAGTAACATTTGTGGCTAAGTAGTTTACGGTGGACAGGTCTTCTGGTGTGAGCAGTCAAGACCTGACAGTGCCAGACACCATCACTCAGTGGGTGGGCAAGGCTGTGTGTGTACACCCAGAGAAGGGCGTGGGACTTTCCCAGAGGAAGTCCATCATTACCTTCACGCCCTTCTTCCTCGACCTCACCCTTCCACCCACTGTCAAGAGAGGCGAGATCCTTCCCGTCAAGATGTCCATCTTCAACTACTTGAATCAGGCAATACCTGTACGTATTTACTGTTAACTGTTTGCTACATTCACTACTTGTAATTATCTACTTATCTAGTACCTGAGACAGCTAATACCTATAAAATTCTACTTATCATTTATCTAAGGTGATTAATGCCTTTAATTATCTACTTAACAAATACTTAAGGTAGCTAATATACGGCTGATCCAGTTAATTCCTCGAAGTCAACTTCCGCCAAAGTTTGAACATTTAAATGCGTTATGATAACTTTGTTATCAATTTTCAATAGATTGTTTATATATTTTTGGCAAAGCTTAAAAATATAAATTACATATCCTTGAAATATATATATAACCCCTTCTCCTGTATAAATTACTAAATTTAAAAAGAGAAACTTTTGTTTTTCTTTTTTGGGCCACCCTGCCTCGGTGGGATACGGCCGGTGCGTTAAAAGAAAGAAAATATGTATGTGTATATATATATATATATATATATATATATATATAAAATATATATATATATATATATATATATATATATAATATATATATATATATATATATATATATATATGACACAATTATGATTACTAACCAGTGAAAAAGAAAGAATGGTTTATTTTTACTCTGTGTTCTTGAGTAGAAACTTTAGGGGCCGTAGAGATCACGTGTGGTCATACCTGCCTAAGCTCATGGGAGTTAGCGTGGGCTGTTACCAAGCACCATGAATTGTTGTAGTGTTTTAGAATCTCAGGCTCAAGTGTTGAAGAAGGAGGTTCTACTTCTTCTTCATGAGGAATATAGGAGGCTGAAGCTTCGCATATGTGAGTTTGGGAGTGAGTGTGAGATGGATTTAGCTGGTACGGAGGAAATGTTCACCAGCAGTGATAGTGGCATCCGCTTTAAGTGGAAAGTGGTTCACAGTTCAGGAAGAAAAAAGATGAGAGTTTATAGAGAAGATGTGAAGGTAGGAAATCAATTCTCTGTTCTCCAAGACGAGTGTACTTCAGTGATTAGTGAGGATGAAGGTACCACTGATTCCTCTGCTGATGAAGGTAAGAATATTTTAATAGTAGGCGATTCTCAGGTAAGATATATGGACCTTGCATTTTGTAACAGAGAGAGAAAAGTCAGACAGAGAGTGTGCCTTCCTGGAGCTGATGTTGGTCAGCAGATTGGATAATATTATGGCAGATAATGGGAACAAGCCCATTTTCTGTCTTAGTGCTGGGGGTAATGACATTGGGAAGAGCAGGAGAGAGAGGAACTGCTGGATAAGTACAGGTCAGCCATAGAAGTAGTTAGGTCTAAGTCAGGGATCCCGGTCATATGTAGCATCTTGCCTAGAAAGGGAGTGGGCAATGGATGGATGTCTAGAGCAATTGGTATAAATTGCTGGTTAGACAGGTACTGCAAGGAACTTGCAATCCCATTCATTGATAACTGGGACCTATTCTACGGCAAACGTGATATGTATGCATGGGACGGGGTTCATCTCTCTGGGGATGGAGTGGTTGCATTAGCCAATTCGATTGAGAGGGTAATTGATGACCTGTCTAGGAATTTAAACTGATAGATTATAGAGGTATGGGTGTTTGTGGGAAACAATCAGGCTGCAGTATTAGGGTTTAAAACAGCAGTTATTACCAGGATACCTCAGGGATATGTTTAAAAGACAATATTCAAAATAAAGTTGCTAGTAATGGCAAATCAATTGATCAACAAACAAAGAGAGAGAGGGCAACGAGTGACTAGCTCCATGAAGGTTTACTATATAAATAGTAGGAGTCTAAGAAATAAGATAGATGAACTAAGATTATTTGCAAGTGCAGGTAATATAGATATTATTGGCATAACAGAGACCTGGTTCAACCTGAAAGATAGAGAAATGCCTTCTGAATGCAACATACAGGGTTATAAACTATTCCACACTGATAGGGTCAACCGGAAGGGTGGTGGAGTGGCGATGTATGTGAGAGAAAATTTAAATTGTTGTCTTAGACATGATACAAGATTAGAAACATCGAACACAGAATCTGTTTGGCTACAGTTTCTCGAGGGACGTGACAAATTAATTTTGGGTGTGATTTATAGGCCCCCCAAACCTTGATAGGGAGTGCAGTAAGCTGTTATGGGACGAAATTCATAAGGCATCTAGATATGAAAATGTTGTGATAATGGGAGATTCTATCTTTAGACAAATTGATTGGAACAATATGACAGGAAATCTTGAGTCTAGTGACTTTCTTGATACGATTCAGGATTGCTTTTCAGAACAGGTTATGACAGAACCAACTAGAGGAAACAATCTGCTTGACTTGGTTCTTGCCAACAGAGAGTCACTAATTAATAATCTTGAGGTTAATGATGAGCTTGGGGAAAGTGACCACAAATCACTTAGTTTCAATATATCATGGAATTACCCAGATAACTGCAATCAAATCTCTGTCCCAGATTTTCGCTTGCCCGACTTCATGGGACTGAAAAATTACCTGGATGGGCTAAATTGGGTTGTCCTGACTATGGGTCAGGTAGGTGATCTTGGTTGCCAATATGACGTTTTTAGGAGCATAGTTCTATCTGCCTAGACAACTTTTGTTCCGAGTAGGGAAATTAGATCTAACAAAAATGATCCCAAATGGATGAACAATAGATTAAAACATCTCATTGGTCAAAAGAGAGGCATATATAGGCGTATCAAAAGAGAAGAAGGGCAGTTAAGAAATCAGTATTTTCAATTAAAGAAAGAAATAAAGAAAGGAGTAAGAAAAACAAAAAGGGATTATGAGGCTAAGGTCGCAAGGGATTCAAAGACTAACCCAAAAGGGTTCTTTCAGGTATACAGAAGTAAGATTAGGGACAAGATTGGCCCGCTTAAGAGTAATTCTGGTCAGATCATTGACAGTGATAGGGATATGTGTGAAATTCTCAATACCTACTTCCTCTCGGTTTTCACCCAGGAAAATACTAGCGATATTCCTGAAATAATATATTATGTAGAAATAGACGATAATAAACTATGCACGATTGCGGTAACTAGTGACATGGTCCTCAGACAAATAAAGAAACTAAAACCTAACAAATCCCCAGGCCCTGATGAACTGTTTGCAAGGGTGTTAAAGGAATGTAAAGAGGAACTTAGCATACCTTTGGCTAATCTTTTTAAAATATTACTACAAACTGCCATAGTGCCTGATAAGTGGAAAATGGCAAATTATTATTATTATTATTTTTTATTATCACACTGGCCGATTCCCACCAAGGCAGGGTGGCCCGAAAAAGAGAAACTTTCACCATCATTCACTCCATCACTGTCTTGCCAGAAGGGTGCTTTACACTACAGTAAGACAGTGATGGAGTGAATGATGGTGAAAGTTTTTCTTTTTCGGGCCACCCTGCCTTGGTGGGAATCAGCCAGTGTGATAAAAAAAAAAAAAAAAAAAAAAAAAAAAAAATAATAATGGCAAATGGCAAATGTAATACTTATTTGCAAGGCAGGTGACAAGTCCTTGGCTTCGAACTATAAATCAATAATCCTTACCTCCATAGTGGGAAAATTTATGGAATCAATAATTGCCGAAACAATTCGTAGCCATCTTGACAGGCACAGATTGATTATTGAATCTCAACACGGTTTTACAAAGGGGCGTTCCTATTTACGAATTTACTAACATTTTTCACTAAGGTGTTTGAGGAGGTAGATCATGGTAATGAATATGATATTGTGTATATGGACTTCAGTAAGGCTTTTGATAGAGTTCCACATCAGAGGCTATTGAAGAAACTTAAGGCACACTGAATAGAAGGAGATTTTTTTTTCCTGGGTAGAGGCATGGCTGACAAATAGGCAGCAGAGAGTTTGCATAAATGGGAGAAATCAGAATGGGGGCACGCCACAAGCGGTGTTCCTCAGGGCTCAGTTCTTGGCCCGTTGTTGTTCACAATTTACATAAACGACATAGATGAGGGAATAAATAGCGACATAAGCAAATTTGCTGATGACACCAAAATAGGCCATCCAATTCATTCTAATGAAGACACTAGAGCACTCCAGGATGATTTGAATAGACTGATGCAATGGTCAGAGAAGTGGCAGATTCAGTTTAATATAGACCAATGCAAAGTTCTAAATGTTGGACAGGAAAATAACCATGCGACATATAAACAAAATAATTGCGAAAAGGATTTAGGAGTTCTGGTTAGCAGTAATCTAAAACCAAGACAACAGTGCATTAGTGTTCGCAATAAAGCTAACAGAATTCTTGGCTTCATATCTAGAAGTATAAATAACAGAAGTCCTCAGGTTGTTCTTCAACTCTATATATCCTTGGTTAGGCCTCATTTAGACTATGCTGCTCAGTTCTGGTCACCGTATTACAGAATGGATATAAATGCTATGGAAAACGTGCAGAGGAGGATGACAAAGATGATCCCATGTATCAGAAATCTTCCCTATGAGGATAGACTGAGGGCCCTGATTCTGCACTCTCTCGAAAGGCGTAGAATTAGGGGGGATATGATCGAGGTGTATAAATGGAAAACAGGAATAAATAAAGGGGCGTAGAATTAGGGGGGATATGATCGAGGTGTATAAATGGAAAACAGGAATAAATAAAGGGGATGTAAATAGCGTGCTGAAAATTTCCAGCCAAGACAGGACTCGCAGCAATGGTTTCAAGTTGGAAAAATTCAGATTCAGGAAGGATATAGGAAAGCACTGGTTTGGTAATAGAGTTGTGGATGAGTGGAACAAACTCCCGAGTACAGTTATTGAGGTTAAACGTTGTGTAGTTTTAAAAGTAGGTTAGATAAATACATAAGTGAGTGTGGGTGGGTGTGAGTTGGACCTGACTAGCTTGTGCTGCTGGGTCTTAACATTGCTCTTAACATTGCGAGCAATATTAAGTAGACCTGTCGAACCTTATAGTTGTCAGTCACTTTTAGATATAAATATCTAAGTGGAAACGGATTGCGTTTTTAAAATAGCAAATACATATTTTTTTTTTATCTTCGCGTTGTTCTAAGTTACATTCTGGTGATCTATTTAAGTTTAATGTATCGTCAAATTTTCACATTAAGGTGACCGTACAAGTGGAGGAGAGCAGTGAATACGACATCCTTGAGGAACCTGGACAGCAAGGTCTTGGAAAACAAAGTTCGTGTTTGCCAGCGCAAGATAAAGTCGTCCGTACAGTGAGGATCAAGCCAGGTGTGATCGGTGAAGTCAACATTACGGTGACGGCGTTCGTGGATCACCAGTTCTCAGGGGCGTGTGGCTCAGGAGACACATCAATCACCAGAAGGTCACACAACTAACTTATCACTTATCTTTTGTTCCACTCATGGAATGTTTCTTGATTCTGCTGAAAAGTTTTTGAGCCTGTGTCCCACTTCTTTGGATCTAGCCTGAATTATTTTCATTCCCAAACGCGGTGTATAACCCTATGGGTTTAGCATTCCCAGTGAAGGCAGCAATGACGATGATGATGATGATGATGATAATAATAATAATAATAATAATAATAATAATAATAATAATAATAATAATAATAATAATAATAATAATAATAATAATAATAATAATTTCTATTAACTGTTAGCAACGTTTTCATAATTCACTAGCTAGACTCACTAAACTCATTAAGCACAATCATAATAATAGTGTTATATGCAGTGGTCGCTCTTAAGAGTGTAATGCTCTGAGTATTCATGAAATATTATTGTTTCCTTCAGAGATGCTTTGATAAAACCAATCAAGGTTGAGGCTGAGGGTTTCCTGAGAGAAAAAACCTGGACCAAGTACATCTGCACTGAAGGTGAGAATTTACTAACATTTTTAAAGTTTATTCTTTCATCACCTATCTCAAGTTACTTAGTTGATGTGTTCATGTAAAGTGACTGGTCTGATGGGCACTACAGATGAGAAGTAAGTTCTACAGGGCGTGGGAATTGTCACTATGAGACATTTAGGTAATTCTCTGTCGACTGATGATTAGATGCCAACATCTCACACATAGATTCCTTCTTGCGAGATTATTTCCATCATCCTCTCTCTAGGTTAATTAAGTTCCTAAATTTCTTTACAACCTAAGAGCTGTTACGTATCAGCTCATGTGTAAGCTTTTTCACTGTTAAGGAAGAGGATGAAGTCAGAGCCATCTGTATGCCAGCGATTTCATTTGATCAGCTGAGTTTACTTCGTTGATGTCATACGCTGTACGAACAGGTTCCAAATACGAGTCATCCTATGAAAAAATGACCTCAGATCAAGTGACGTTCTCTCTTTGCCATTGTGTATTATAACTGACAGCTTGAAGCTTGAGCCTTGGTGCTTATGTTCTGTTCTCATCATATGCGTTCTTCCAATAATCTGGGAGAAATTATGATGACTAGTATAAAATTAACCGAATAAGACAAGCGAAAATTTGTGAATGCAATAATTTCGAAAAAATCGTTCTGAACGTAACGAAAAAAATATATTTCATTTTGTTTGTGTATTATTAAATTATTGTAAACTTATCTAAAATATATTTAGTTGGATTAGGCTAAATTAAATTGCGCTTGCTTTAATATAGTTAGTTAAGTTTTCTAAGGCTCTTTTGGAACATAAATGAAAAAATATATCATTAAACATGTAAGAGAAATTTTTAAAAAGACTTAATTTTAAATGAGTTCTTGCTAATTGACCAATTTTACCTATATTATATATATATATATATATATATATATATATATATATATATATAAATATGTAAATATATAAATATATAAATATATATATATATATATATATATATATATATATATATATTCTTCTTCTTCTTTCAACGTACCAGCTGTATCCCACCGAGGTGGGGTGGCCCAAAAGAAAAAACGAAAGTTTCTCCTTTCAAATTTAGTAATATATACAGGAGAAGGGGTTACTAGCCCCTTGCTCCCGGCATTTCAGTCACCTCTTACGACATGCATGGCTTAAGGAGGAAGAATTCTGTTCCACTTCCCCATGGAGATAAGAGGAAATAAACAAGAAAAAGATTACGACATGCATGGCTTACGGAGGAAGAATTCTGTTCCACTTCCCCATGGAGATAAGAGGAAATAAACAAGAACAAGAACTAGAAAGAAAATAGCAGAAAACCCAGAGGGGTGTGTATATATATGCTTGGACATGTATGTGTAGTGTGACCTAAGTGTAAGTAGAAGTGGCAAGACATACCTGAAATCTTGCATGTTTATGAGACAGAAAAAAAAGACACCAGCAATCCTACCATCATGTAAAACAATTACAGGCTTTCGTTTTACACTCACTTGGCAGGACGGTAGTACCTCCCTGGGTGGTTGCTGTCTACCAACCTACTACCTAGGATATATATATATATATATATATATATTATATATATTATATATATATATATATATATATATATATATATATATATATATATATATATATATATATATATATATATATATATATATAAAATATGCTTAACAATTCGCAAACAGGCGAAATTATTTACAAACATTGTCTCTGTCCACAGCAGGACTAGAACCTGCAAACTCTGTGTCAGAGACCACAGTACTTGACCACTGAGCCAGACTCCAGATAAGTATGGGCGCCTTGTCGGAACTAGACGATGTTTCCTCATACCTGATGCAGAGTTTGCAGGTTTGAGTCCTGCTGGGGATGCAGAGACAATATTTATAAATAATTTCGCCTGTTTGCGAATTGTTAAGCATTTCAAATCTCTTTCGTTGTCCCCTGCATGTGGCAGGATTTAATGATATATATATAATATATATATATATATATATATATTATATATATATAATATATATTATATATATATATATATATATTATATATATACTATATATATATATATATATATATATATATATATATATATATATATATATATATTATATATATATATATATATATATATATATATATATATAAGTCGTGCCGAATAGGTAAGAATGGTCAATTAGCAAGAATTCATTTAAAATTAAGTCTTTCTAAATTTTTCGCTTATACGTTTAATGATTTATATTTTTCGTTTATCTTAATGTAAACATTAATAATTTTGTACCGAAAGAACCTTAGAAAACTTATCTAAATTCATAACAAGCGCAATATAATTCAGCCTAATCCAACTTAATATATTTTAGAAGAGTGGGGCCTATTTATAGTGTACAGCGTAGTGTCATGTATAATGAGGTGTTGGAGGGTGCAGTGAGTGGGCAATTCTAGCAGTCCTGCCTTCCCATTTCATCACCCCTTCTCCACCAATCCCTCGCTCAACCACCACTTCCTCACCCCCCCCCCCTCCGCCTACCACGAGGATTTGCAACCGCCAACCACATCTTGGCCTACGCTCTCCACCACTTTCCACCCCCATTATGAACAACCCGTGGTATAAGCCTTCACCCACAAGTGCCATTTTCCCTTTAGCCCAAGCATATGATGCAGCTAGTCAGCCACAAACAGGGAAACAGTGCACCTAACAATGAAAGAACAGGCACCTGTCGGGTGTGTGGAGTGCATCAGGCACACAATGGGTGTGCTGGATCACACATGGTCCCTGCAGAAAGCAGCCCACAGCCTCCACAAGCAGATGAAAGTTCCTGTGGTAACCTCCTCAGTTGTGAATATCTTCTGATGACATTCAAATCCACTGCTAGCAGTACTCTGTCTCACATTCCTAAAGCGGCTCGTCCATATTCGGCAGAGAAACTCACAGGTGAATGGAGGTTCCACCAACTATTAATTAAGGCTTGGCACAACCTACTCCTGTTCGGCAATGTCTGTATTGCAGTTCCTTCAAGACACGACAGATTGCTAACCACAACAGTAATCAAGGCACTGCACAACTACCCAAGAGCAGATAATTGTGTCCCTCTGCCCCATCATCACAGAAATCACAGAGGCAGACCCAAAAAAATTTCCACTGAAAAAAGAAAATCTGCGCACAGGTTAGCAAAAAAAATCGAAGAAGGTAACACAGTAGGAACAATCAGACTAATCACAAGTGACACTAGAATCGGTAACAACAACCCTGAGGAAGACCTCCTCACTGGACAATTAATTTTGCCGGAATCAGAAGTCTATTAGGAGATAATGTCATTTCCAGCAGGATCTGCCGAAGGTTACACTTAAATTTGGCTACCACACATCAAAGAGATGGTAAATCCAGAACTCGTCACAGCTACATCAATTCTTCTCTCTGAGTTAACAACCTTCGGACCCTCATTATGCTCTTTGAAGAAGGATGGGGCAGTCATACCCATTGTTGTCGATAACTCTGTTCGTCAGCTCGTTGCCAAAACAGCAGTAAGAAACGTTCGCGTAGAAACCACCAGTTTATTCCAGCCAAACCAACTGGGCTTTGGAGTCTCTCAAGACAGTGAAGTGGCACCTCATGCAGCAAGGGCCTACATCAGGGACCTACCAGAAGGCAAGGCCGTTGTCAAACTAGACTTTAGAAATGCCTTTAATATGGTGAAAAGAGATGTGATCTTGCCAGCTGTTCAAGATCAGTTTTCCAGTCTTTTTCCCATCATTTCAGTTGGCTACAGCAAACTCTCAATTCTTTTGTTTGGCGAGCATGAAATTCCCTCATCAGAGGATGTTCAGCAGGGTGACCTACTCGCTCCACCTCTCATCTGCTTGACGGTAAGAGAACTAACTTCTACGTTGCGCAACGAGCTCAAGATCAGGTTTCTGTATGATGGCACTCTGTCAGGTACAGAAGAATCCCTGTTAGAGGGTCTACAACTGGTAAAAACACAGGGAGAACCCTTGGGACTCATCCTCAATCCCTCCAAGTGTGAAATCATCACAACCAACCAGGAAATAATCAGATTTTTGCGAACAATCCTTCCTGAAGTCGCTACTACCACTCCATCCAAGAGCACCCTCTTGGGAACACCGCTGGGTCATCAGGCCATCGACACAGTCCTCAAGGACGAACTGAATGACCTGTTGAAAATGGATGAGAAAATAAGGGATCTTTATGCCCTGTATCTCCTTACAATGTATTTTACTCTGCTAAGACTCATTAACTTCCTGAGGTGGGCACCCTCTTTTGACAACCAACATTCAACGAATATGAATCACTCCTGTGATCATTCTTTAAGAAGCCACCGAATCTGTCACTGCACTATCAGCAATGGGATCAGGCAACTCTTCCAGTGTGACTGGGAGGTATAGGGATGCGGAAAGGAATGCATGTAGCTTTACCAGCATTTCTGTCCTCGCCTGAGAACGCTTGAGAAGTGCGGCAGGAGCTCACGACCCCAGATTCAATGAAGGAGCCATGCTGTGGGACACCCTTGTAGACCCCTCAAGCAGACCAGTTCTTCCCAGAGAGCACAAACAGTCCCACTGGGACCAATCGCTAATGGAAATAAATGCCAACATAATGCTTACCAATGCTTCAGGAAAGGACAAAGCTGACGTGTCTCCAAGCAGTGAATGCATCATATTCAGGAGATTTTCTTGTTGTTGTTCCCATTTCAACCATAGGTGTATTTGCGGCAGCGTCGGCTGATCAATTCGGACTTCAAGGTCTCGAATGCCATACATCAAAAGGGAGGTATGCTAGACATGATGTGGTCAATGACATCATAAAGAGAAGTCTCGCTACAGCCCGTTGCCCAGCTGAACGGGAATCCCAAGTACAGAGGTTTGACGGAAGTCCAAAGCGTCCTGAAGGAGTCACTATGCTACCCTGGTAGGATGGTAAGCAGATTGTCTGGGACTACACGTGTGCTGCCACTTGTGCAGACACCTACTTGCCATACTTTAAAG